TATCTTCTTTTTATTTATTTTTTAAACTTTTTAATATTAACAACAAAAATTCAAGAATTTATTTACACAATTCAAAATGAAAGAAAATAAAGGTTGTAAAATATATGTATTCCATGAACGTAATACTAAAACAATTATTTAAATAAAAATATTTTTATAATATATGTTATATATTCTTGAAAATTATGCTCAAATATATTATTATGTTTCTACCAACTTTCCGACAACACAAAGTTATGTCACCGCAAGTTATGTCACCGGAAAGCAGGAGGACTATCTGTATAGGGTAAAATATGATATGTTAAGTCGTGCATGGAATATATATAATATAATTGAGAATAATTTTCAAAAATATATAATGTATATTATAAAAATACCTTTATTTAAATAATTATTTTTATATTAGGTGCATGGAATATATATTTTACAACTTTTATTTTCTTTCATTCTGAATTATGTAAATAAAATTTTAAAATTTTGTTGTTAATACTACAATTATTATTACTAACAAATTATTAGAATTAATTTTTTTACTATGCTCATTATTTTGTTATTCCAGCATTATATATACTTAAATACTTTTTTAATTTATAAATAATATTTATTTATTCTATAGGGAAGTCCATAATGTAAATTAAAAAGGGAAAAATCCTAATATTAAAAAGTTTAAAAAAATAAAAAGAAGATAAATATTTATAATTTAGAGGGTAAAATAGGTATTTGGCAATCCAAAATTTGGAAAATCTAGTTGAGTGACCTTCTGTGTGCAATAGGCATAGTTCAGTGACTTTGTTATTACAAACGAAAGAAAAGTGACTTTAGGAGATAATTTGAGATAGTTGAGTGACCATTTGAGTAATTGACTCGCAGGATCTTCTACATGATAAAATTAATCCAAAAGCTAATTGTAATAAAAAGCAAGCAGAGTAACATTTTCATAATCTGATGATGTTAGAAAGCAAAAATTATAAATTTAACAAAATAAAATGAGCAACACAAACAAATAAAATAACAGCATGTTTTCTGTGGAAAAAAGTTTCGCAATTATTTTACAGTTGTCCCTAGTTAAAACTGTTCTTTTTCTTCTCTAGATAGTTTAATAAGACGTTGTCGCCCTAGTAATTCGTGCTATAACAAATTCCGAACGTATGAAGGTATATCCATAGCAGCAGTTCTTAAATGGACAGGCAGCCTTTGATTTTGTGACGACCCAACCCGTCGTCACGTGAGTTACGCTCCGTTTTTCCTATTTTCTATTTCTTTATGCCTCATTATCAGTGTTGGATGCGAACGAGTTGATTTGGAGTGGTTCTAGAAGGAAACGAGACACTTAGTCTCTTTAAGGAAGGTTTGTTTTGGAAAAGTCAACCGGACGTTGACTTATGTGTTAGAGGGCTCGGATATGAATTCCGATGATTCGGTTAGCTTCGTGGGATGATTTGTGACTTAGGAGTGTGATCAAAAGTGATTTTGGAGGTCCGGAGTAGAATTAGGCTTGAATTGGCAAAGTTAGAATTTTGGCGAATTCCGGTCGATAGATGAGATTTTGATCCGAGGGTCGGAATGGAATTCCGAGAGTTGCAGTAGCTTCGTTAGGTGATTTGGGATGTGTGTGCAAAATTTCAGGTCATTCGGAGGTGATTCGGATAGGTTATTGATCGAATGCAAGTTTCGGAAGATTTGGATGAACTTAGGCTTGAATTTGATGTAATTTGATGGTTTAGGTGTTATTTGTGGTATTTTGATGCTTCAAGCAAGTTTGAATAAGGTGCTGGATCATGTTTGTGTTTTTGGTTAAGGTCCCGGAGGCCTCGGGGTGATTTCGGATGGCTAACGGGAAGTTTTGGCTTGCAAAACTTAAGAATTTGCTGCTGCTTCTGGTATTTCCGCTCCTGCGGAAATGGGACAGCAGAAGCGGTACCGCAGGAGCCGGTGGAGAGTCGCAGAAGCGGGGAGAACCGCAGGTGCGGATTGGGTGACCACATCTGCGGAGTCGCAGATGCGACATCATGACCACAGATGCGGGTTTTGGAGATTTAATGAGATCCGCAAATGCGGAGCTTAGTCCGCAGAAGCGGAAGCCGCAGGTGCGTGTTTCAAACCGCAGAAGCGGAAAATATCCGCAGAAGCGGTTCAATTACCGCAGAAGCGGAAGTCGCAGAGGCGGCTAAGGAGCCGCAGATGCGAAAATAACTGGTCAGTGAAGTTTTATTTCATCTTCGCGAAATTTCAAAAGAGTTCATATTTTCACTTCGGACTTGGAGAGTTTTTGGGCGATTTTGAAGAGGGTTTCAAGGACTTCGATCAGGTAAGAATTCTTGGACTTAGAACACGATTTTATGATGCAAATACATGAATTTAGACTGAAAAATCAAGGAATTTAAGGTCAAAAATGGAGGTTAGGGCTTGAAACCTAAGAGAGCAAAAATGGGAATTTGAGGGGTCATTTGGACTCCGATTTTGGTGTTCTTTATATGTATAGACTCGTGGCGAGATAAGGAATCCGTTGATGGTAAATTTAATGATTTTCGAGAAATGGGCCCGGGGCTCGGGTTTTTGCTAATTTCGGGAATTTCACTATTTTTCGATTGTTTTCGATTGGGTATTGTCCCATTAGCATATTGTGATGTATTCGTTGTGGTTTTGATCAGATTCGGTACGCGAGGAGGTTAATTCGAAAGGCAAAGGCATAGCAAGCTAGGACTTTGGCCGGCTTGAGGTTAGTAATAAATGTAAATGCTGTGTTGAGGGTATGAAACCCCGAATTTGCACAATGTAGTGCTATCTGAGGTGACTTGCACGCCGGATAACGGGCGTGGGGTAGAGCACCGTCGGGGATTGTCCCGCTTAATAAAATTACTACCTAATTGATTGTAGATTAGTAACATCCTTATAAAAATGGATTAATTGTCATAATTGGGCTTTGTGCCAACTACTTGAATCCTTCAGGGATTATTTTTAGTGGTTTCTTACCATAATTATAAATATTGAACTCAGTCCTGTTATTTAATACTGTTTTGTAAACTCAGCCATTTTTCCCAAAGTAGGAACTAAGTTAATATTTTTTTATGAAGTTTGGGCTGAATATTTTTATGTTATTGTGACCGAGGGGCTTATGTGATTTTGGACTGAGTATGGGATCGGGCTGCACGCCGCAGCGGTATGATATTGATATTGATATGAGGCCGAGGGCCTGTTTGATGCCACGATATGGCTTATTACTATTGCGCTTGGGCCGTAAGGGGCCCCTCCCGGAGTCTGCATCCCCCCAGTGAGCGCCGTCGACGATAAATAAATGGAGCGGGCTGCACGCCGCAGCGGGTATTGGAGAGTACCGGTTTATTGTTGCATTGCATATTTAATTGTCATTTATTCTTTATTCTGATGTGATAATTCTATAATTGTTTTCGCTGTTTTGCTGTATTATGCTACTGGTTCATGTTGCTGTGTTTATAGCTTCACTTTGTGTCTATTTAAGATTTTTTATTCTCAGACTGTATTTATATTTATTACTTTCTGGGTTGGAAGTACTCACATTACTCCCTGCACCTTGTGTGCAGATTCAGGCGCACCCACTGAGGCTAAGTGAGATCTTTCTCTGCCTAGCATCACACTCGGAAGATTCAAGGTAGCTGCAAATTGGCGTTCGCAGTCCTGATCTTCCTTCTATTTTATTTATTTGTTTTTCCATATTTTTAGAGAAACATTATGTAGTAGGTTAATACTCATGCATTAGAGGCTCAGACTTAGTGACACCAGATTCTATGGGCTGAATAGTATATTATATTTTGGGCTTTCCGGATGTTAGAATTTATTTCAGGATTTTTCCGTATTTAACTTGGTATTTTAGTTGTGAAAACTTATTTATCCACTGTGATTAATCGGTTAAGGTTGTCTGAATGGTCGGGCTTGCCTAGTAGCATATTGGGTGCCATCACGATCAGGGTTGGGTCGTGACAGATTTGTAGCAGACTTATGATTTTGACTAGTTTTCGCATACTACGTCCTACATTGTCTGGGACTAATTTATATCCAGACTAGGTTGCCCGGTTTTCCGTTTTCTCTTTTTATATAGTAGCAAAAAAGAAAGGTTCTAGCCTCTAGGTAGACACACAAATTTAGTAGGCGTTTCCACAATATTTGGTTGAATTCGAGAAAAGATAGTATTTGATATTGAAGTTAAAAAAAGAGTAATTATAAATAGGAAATTTTACCTCGCAAAGGTATACATCCTATTTATTATAAACCAAAATTATTTTAAAATATTATTTTCTATAGCTACCTTTTATATTTTATAGCAAAATAAATAGTTATGGTATATTGAAATTTTTTTTTTTTAGCTAGTGAGAATTGAACCTATGACCTTATGAAGGTTTTGAACCCCCTTGACCACTAAACTACACTTTTGAATTGTGTTAAGGGGGTTCAAAACTTAATATATAGAGGTAAAAAATAGATTTTGCCTTATATATACAATGTAATTTTTCGGCGAAGGGGGTTCGGGTGAACCCCCCTTCTGCCTCCCTAAATCCGCCCCTGCTATCATTGAGGCATGAAATAAGGCATGAAATACTCTATTTATGTTTTTACTCTCTCTTATTTTTAAGGTGATTGTCATTACCGTATTCATGAATACATGGCGCGAATAAATGTGAATTCATGCGCGTACAGCTGGAGACGCTTTTTACTGTTGTATTCATGAATACAGCAGCGCAAATACATGTGAATACATGCGCGTACAGCTAGACTGCCCTGATTATAAGCGCTTTTTGGTGTTGTTTTCATGAATACATGGCGCGAATACATGTGAATACATGCACGTACAACTGGACTACCCTGATTTTTAGGCGATCTTTGCTGCTGTATTCATGAATACAACAACGCGAATACACTATCGTAACAACTGAATAGTAGCTATAAAAAGTAATTATCTATATAATAGATATAAAAAGTTAATAGCCACTAAACAATAGTGATTTCTGAAAATTCCTATAAAAAAAATGAAACCAGGTCTAACCCAATTTATATGTTTACGTTTACCCAAACAATAGAGAAAACGAGAGTTAAAACTGACACTTCCTCCACTGTTTCGGGGAAAGAATTGAAGCTAGTATATGATTAATTAGTTTACTTGAAAAGTCTGCTGACTTCTCCCAAAATTGAGTATAAATGGCAGTATTATATGATTAAATATCCACTACTCATGAGCCTTGCTGAATCTCCATTTGGCCACCAAATGTCCTCACCCTCTCCTCAGCTTGAAGTGTCTGTAAATTATTTACACTATCAGATCAAATTACAGATAACTTTCCAAAAAAGTGGAATTAATGAGAATAATTAACTGGACTGCATGTAAAACATGTTTATACTACTAATATAAAATCTTTACGCTTTCGGTGTATATAAGTTAAATTCCTATATATATAAAAAAAATCACCTGTCCTTTCACCTAGTCATTATCCTTAATCAATCTTAATTTTACCTCTTTGTGCCAATTCGTGCGACCAATAATAACAAAGAGGATGATGGTTTGAAGCAAGCTGCCACCAAGCATTGCAGACCAGACTCCCTGAACACCAAGATTAAATTTGTAGCCAAGAATTGCTCCTATTGGCAGTCCCAAACCATAATAACATACAAAATTTACTATGGCCACTACAAACTGCCATCCAGCTCCAATTGCAACCCCTGCAAATATTTTCGTTCGGCAACACAGAGACGGATTCAAGATTTTAGATTTATGGATTTCAACCATAGGCAAACGGGTCAAGTAGAGGTGTCAAATTGATAGGTTGAGCCAATTTTGGGTGGGTCAAAATGGAATGAGTCAATAATGGATCGCCTAAAAGTTACTTGGGCTAAGATGTGCTGGGTCAAGATGGACTAAAATTTGAGTCATAACCTATCCCGCTCAACTCTTATCAAGCTTTACTTAATATGTATTTTTTTTTATGAATTGTATAATTACAAAATAAGACTTTTTTTTTTCTTTTGTTATGGTCATATATAACATATAAACCAAAATAAATTCTAAGATATTTTGGCAATGTTACTCGTGGATCAATTTGAGCTAAAAATCAGCCCAACTTTAAATGGGTTGAGACAGTGGCGGCCCAAGGGTAAAGCTCCTAAAGCAGTTGCTTTAGACCCCTATTTTTTGGGGCCCAATTTTTCCTTATAAGTGTATATGTTATTTTGTTTTTAAAAAAAAATATTTGGTGTTTTAAATGAGAAAGCACAATTTTTCATAATAAAAACAAAGATTGAACCATTGAGCATAAATTGAGAACATGAATAGTCTTTTAGGGAATCAATCTCTAGATCATGAATGAATTGAGAAAGAATTCGATTACTCATAACTCAAAAAAGATTAAAGCTTTAATACAATCCCAAAAAGAACCCTTGGTAAATTTTTACGAACAATAAATTAAAAATCGTAAATTAGAAAGTATGTCTTAAGAGAGAGATTAAATGGATTAGATATATTAGAAATTAAAAAAATATTAGAAGAAAACGATTATCAAAACTATTAATAACTTTTCATCTAAAAAATCTAGAAAAATAAACTTCAAACATAATTATATAGTATAAAGTTCTTTTTTTTCCTAACAAAAAGCTTAAGGCCTCTCATTTGCTTTAGGCCACCATGTTTATTGAGCCGCCTCTGGGTTGAGATGTGTTGGTTTAAGATGAGTTGAGTTCAATAAATGAGCAGGTCAATATCCAGCCCAACCTTGGATGGCTTGGACAGGTCATTTGGACTTGGACCAAATTTGACTGGGGTCAAGTCTTCTACTAATTAAAAGAGAGGTGCAAAAATACATACCATGGAGAACAGGTTGGATGCTGCTAATGAAGATGGTTAATGCAAGAATAACACCCAACTTGGATGTCTCACTTATAACATTTTGCTGTTTTGAGAACATTCTTGGGAACTGACTTTTTGTGGCCAATATGATAACTGAAAAAACAACTCCAAGTATTGCTGATGTCAAGACATTGACTGCAACTGTGAATTTTGCAGCTTTTGGATTTCCAGCCCCTAGTTCATTTGAAACTCTCACACTGAAAATTTGGAACACAATGTTTTGCACAATTAAGCCAAACTATCCCACTATAGTATCAATTACAAATATAGCCAAAAAGAAATGTTTGAAACTGCTAACCTGGCTGATACACTGAAACCAAGGGCAACCATTAGTGTCCATACTTGCAAATTCATGCTGCCATATCCAAAAAAGTAATAAGGATTCAGAATATGTTAACAACAAGGAAAGGGGGGGGGGGGGGAGGGGGTATGAATGTAGTACTAGAGAAGGGATTT